GGCGCTGTACTGTCGTGGTGTGTGTGTAGATGTGCGAGGAGGCGGTGCGCGGCGCGGCGGTGTCGGCGCTGGTGGTGGCGCACAACCTCGGCTTCCTGCTCATGTACCTCGCCGCCGACGCACGCGTGCTATACAGGTGACTGCGGCACTAGCTCGGCGATATATTGCGGCGGTTCCATCGCCAGACGTAGTAAATCTGGCGTGTGAGTGTTGCAGTGTGGTACTGTGGAGCTGCCTGGCGCTGTCGGCCGTGCACTGCGCGGTGTTTCTGCTGGTACCAGAGTCGCCTGCGTACCTGGCCGCCGTCGGCAGAACTGACGTGAGTAGTCGTGGGCCGGCAGTGGCAAGCGATGTGACATTGCGTGACATGACGTGACGTGCGGGGCGTGCAGGAGGCGCGCGCGGCGCTGGCGTGGCTGCGCGGGCTGCCGACGGACGCGGCGGCGCTGCAGCACGAGCTGCGCGCGCTGCCGGCGCCCGACCAGCACCTCGCCTCGCCGTACAGCCTCACTAAACGTTTCTGTGAGTACCTCCTCCTCCACATACACATGTTCAGTTCAGGGTGATGACTCAGTGTCAGGCCTTGCTAATAGAATTCCCTTAATGACCTATGATTTGAAAGGTTTATAACGAATATGTATACATTCGTCGATGTTCGTTTGAGTTCCCTAAACTCCGATATCAAATGAGTACTATTGAAACTTATTTGATTTTGATTCTTTTTCTATTTTTTAATGTAACATTTATTCTATTCTTAAGCATCCATACTAATATTATAAATAGGAAAGTGTGTCTGTCTGTATGTTTGTCTTTCTTTCGCCGCAAAACAGAGCAACGAATTGACGTGAATTTTTAACTGGAGATAGTTAAAGGGATGGCGAGTAACGTAGGCTACTTTTAGCCCGTTTTTAACCCCCCACTTCCTTAAAATGGTTGCATTGTACATTATAGATATTAATATCTAACAATAATCCTGTTGTTAATTGTTTAAATATCGAAGTCTCATATCCACAAAAGGAATAAAGAATTTGAATTTGAATTTGAATCTATGAGAAACTATATACATATATATATTTAGAAATTAGTGTTAATCACACGGAGAGTCCTGTACGCCATGACAATGTTCCATTGAGACGGTCTGTGAACGGTTCAGTCGAACGAATGTGAGTGATGTGATGTGTCCAGTGAGCGAGCCGCGGCGGCGGCGCACGTTCTGGCTGGTGCTGGCGGCGGTGGTGGGGCAGGAGGCCTGCGGCGTGCTGGCGCTGCTGCAGTACGCCGAGCGAGTGTTCGTGCTGGCGCGGGACCAGGGCCCCGCCGCCGCCGGCGCCGCGCAGCTCGCCAGCCCCGCGCGACACGCCGTGCTACTCGGCGCGACGCAACTCCTGGCTTCTGTGCTGGCTCTTTACCTCATTGAGAAAGTCGGCAGGAAGGTTCGGCCTATTTGATTTTATTCTAAATGTTTCAAACTCGGTTGTTGGAGGTAGCGGAATGAAGAGTGATGATGGTTCCGTAGAAGCTGATGGTGTGGTGCGGAGTGGCGACGGGCGCATGCCTGTGCGGGGGCGCGGGCGCGGTGTGGGTGGGCGCGGCGGGCTGGGGGGCGGGGGGCGCGGCAAGCTGGTGGGCAGGGGGCGCGCTGGCCGGCGCCGTGTTCGCGGACTCGGCAGGGCTGCAGCCCGCACCGTACGCCATGCTGGCGGACGCGTTCGAGTACGAGTTCCGCGAGTGCGCGGTGATGTTGGTGAGCGCGGCGGCGTGGGCCGGCAACGCGGTGGAGGTGTTGGTGTTCCCGCTGGTGGCGCACGGCGCCGGGCTGGCGCCGACGCTGGCGCTGGCGGGGGCGCTGACGCTGGCGCTGGCGATGTTCGCGGCGCTGGCGCTGCCCGAGACCCGCGCCCGGACGCCGCACCAGATATACGACGCTGTTTGCCCGCCGCCAGCGGAGCCTTGCACTACTCTCCACTCGGTCGCATGCAGTAAGACGACGAGTACTAAAATGTGAACTGTGTAACTCATGTCAAGAATAATGTAATGAAGGGACTAATGAGATAATGTTCGAAAATCGTTCGAGCGCCACTGGACAGTTGCCTGCAGACGAGCGCTACTTCCACCACGTAGCGGACAGTAGTAGGGCGCGGACCCTGCGACGGTGCTACTGTCCACTATCAGTGCCTACAATGAATGTGTAATGTAGATGACATTTTTTATTTTATACGGTTCTCGAATTGAACTTGAATGCCAATTGTCAACCAGTCAGTCTTTTAACTAGGTGGCAATGTATACAGAAAATGACTCAAGATTTCAGGCATCGACGGCATACAGATCGAGTATCGTAACACGCTGCAACGGAGATATGAGTGAAGATTCCGGGGCCAGCAATTGGAGTAGTCGCTGCAAAATGGTTGCTGGGACGCGGACGGATGAAACTAATTCATTCTGAGAAGGACAACCTCATAGGAGTAGTAACAGTCCCGGCAACATTGAGTGTAATAGTACGAGAGATGACGACCAAAATTTTTGTCATCTCTCGTACTAGAGGTATAAAGGCCTAATTGGTGGTGGTCGCTTCTTAAAGAACCTAAAAGCGAGTGAGTAATGGTGGGCGGCTACTCGGCTAGCTGTTCAAGTATAGTATGTAAGATATTTAAATAGTCTGTTCGTCGTATTGTCAAACATCGATTGAAATATTACGTTTTAGAGGGCGGCTTGTCTATTGTTAGGTTCAATATTCGTGTCAATATTAATGCGATGCAGTCTGACGCAGTGTAACGTTTCTTTAGACGCAAATAAATCAACATCAAGTAAAGACGTTTATTCTTTTTTTTCTAAACATTGATCCATAGTGCAAAGCAGAACTTTAACACAATAATTGTTAATGTATTATAGTAACTGTTATATAGAGGTACAATATTGAATTTTTCTAGAGCAGCATTTGGTCTTCATGTGAGATTAATTCATCGGCTCGGCGTCGGTCCCTCCATCGCCCATTTCTGTACAGGCAGTAAAGCTATCCCAATATTATATAAGGCACAGGTTCGGCCCCACACGGAATACTGTTCTCCTCTTTGGGCGGGGGTACCCCAGTACCAGCTACTGCCTCTGGACCGGGTTCAGGGGCGTGCCGTTCGGATCGTTGGATGTCTGGATGTTTCAGACCGACTAGACACTTTGGCAATGCATAGAGATGTATGTAGCCGCGTTGTGCATTTTCTATCGCTTATACCACGGGGAGTGCTCTGAGGAATTGTTTGACCTGATACCTGCCGCATCGTTTCGCCATCGACCCTCACGACAGAATATGCATGCCCATCATATAGATGGTTGGCAGGGCACAACTGTGCGCTTCTCACGTAGCTTTCTGCCTTACACAGCAAAACTGTGGAATGATCTGTCGTCGGCGGTATTTCCGAACCGATACGACCTTCCAACCTTCAAGAAAAGAGCGTATTCCTTTTTAAAAGGTTGGCAACGCACCTGTGACTCCTCTGGTGTTGCGCCGGTCCATGGGCGGCGCTGACCGCTTACCATCAGGTGATCCGTCTGCTCGTTTGCCTCCTATTCCATAAAAATATTGAAGATATATTTGACATATTTCATTGATTTGACTATTACTTTAGATGACTGTACATACATGCAATAACGATGTGCTGAGCTCGATACTCATCAGGGGGAACGGTAAGTATGAGAACCATCCGATGTTGTGTAATGTGTCAGTGCCTTACGACGATATCTGTTTGAGTAGATACTTATATTATGTTTTAAGAGAGTCTTAAGTTAATTTTCTTCTTTATAGTGTGTGTGTAATAAAACCAACGGTTTGTCGTCATTTAACCTCACCCACAATAGCACTGAATTCGTACCTAGTATGTTTGGTAATGAGCCGCATCTCCTTAATGTAACTAATGACAGTACAAGACGGCGCGACACGATGTAGGCAACTATGTGTAAGCAGCGCGGCCCTGACACTGCAATCGATGGCGGCCGTGTTGTGTGCCCGTCGCCATGACTACCACTGTACTGCGTGGCCTGCCTGCACAGTCTGCTCAGAACTTATGGGTGGTGCTCGTCCTGTGAGGAAGACGGAGCGCATCTCTCTACTCTACTGAAGGTCTCCAAGGTAACCTTCAATATTAGTCTTTAGCGATATTCGGAGTCGCGGAGAACCTAACGGGTAACCGGGGCTCCGGCTCGATGTGCAAGAGAAGGAACGGGGTGGTTTTTAGTTTAGTTCAGGCCTTGGGTATTACGCAAGTTGAATAATTGCAGCTAAATACATATTATTTAAGGAGCATCCTTGTGATGTGAAGGAAGAGTTGACCCCATAGATAGTAAATACGCAGACGAGGGTAGCCTTAACGAAGTAACCTAGCAGGCGACGGTGGTTGGTTACAGCGGCGAGACGAGGAGAGGTGGCAGCATGGGCCTGCTGGACAAGCTGTCGGTGTGGCTGGGCCGCGGCCGCACCGAGGTCACGGTGCTGGTGCTGGGGCTCGACAACAGCGGCAAGAGCACGCTGCTGGCCGCGCTGCGGCCGCCGGACGCGCGCGCGCCAGACACGCGCCCGCCGCACGCCGCGCCCACCGTCGGACACTGCCAGGACCACTTCACCAGTACGTGCGGCGGGCGGCGCGGGCGGCGCGGGCGGCGCGGGCGGTGTGGCGCGGGCGGTGACGGTGTGTGTGTGTGCAGGCGGCGGCGTGTCGTTCAGCGCGTGGGACGTGTCGGGCGCGGCGCGGCACCGCGCGCTGTGGGCGGCGTGTCGTTCAGCGCGTGGGACGTGTCGGGCGCGGCGCGGCACCGCGCGCTGTGGGAGCGCCACTACCGCCGCGCGCACGCGCTCATCTTCGTCGTGGACTCCGCCGACCACCTGCGCCTCGGTCAGTACTGCCACAGTGCCACATCACTTCACTCTTGCACAATTCGTCGTGGATTTAAACGCTTTGACTATATCCTTTCATGACGGTACCAAAATATTATGACCAACTAACTAACCAATAGGCTCACGTCTACATATATTTACCGACTTCAATAAAAGGAGGAGGTACTATGTTGGGGTGATAATTTGTTTGTTCACCGAATACATCGCCATTTGCGAACCGATTTTCAAAATTCTTATTTTCTTTGAAAGGTTAAACACCCGACAGAGTCCAATTTTCATTAGGTCAGGATCTGATGATGGAAAACCAGGGGAACTTTCGAAAATTTGACAAGTTTAGATAAAATGATGTAACTTAATGGTCACAAAATGTCAACAGCTTAATATTAGGTAACGTGAGTATTTGTTAAGGTTTGAATGAATAATTTTCTTTAGGACTTATGGCACCGACTTGACAGCGGGTGGGTAGTCTATCAGTACTTATAATATTAATTTTTTAGTTTTTAGTTTATGGTGTTTTGAAGTGCAGTTTTTTAAGTGTCAATACGTTGGTTATAACAGGCTAAAAGAATGCAACCACTAAATTATACTTAATGCAATCGCCGCGGCGGCCACCGCTGTTACCCAACAACGACATTGACTGGTCAGCGCTCGAGGCGGACCGGTCACACGGCGCTGCAATGTGTATTTATGTACTCTACTAATTAATAATTTACTTAATGAACTACGTACGAGCTGTGCCCGAAAACGAATATTTTGAATATTGAATGAAATATGTAGCAAAGATGTAGTATGTACATGCAGAAACGCACACACGCACACTTACACACCATTATTAAAATTATGTTCTATTTTATTCTTATTTTTATAACTTTTATGTAGGCATATACATACATATATTTATTTATACATATATATATATTTACATCCTGCAATCGATTTGGCGTCATGCACGTTGCGCATCATTATGACGTCCCCCAGTTCCCCTTAACTTTTTTCATATGTCTTGATGAATATTGCTTAGTTATTCGATTTCTAACTTTGTAGGATACGTCATTTTCCGATAATTTTATTTTTCACGATATTCTTCTTGCAGTCATGCTGCAACATTTTTGAACCCCAAACAATGGTGATAACAAATTGGAGTCCTACATATATTGATCGTGATTTAACCATGGTATCAGCTACTTAACGTCCCCACAGCGTGGATGGTATTTGCGAGTGCAACGTTGCCAGCTTTGGGTTCACTTGTCTCTTTCTTTTACTCTCTCTTGTCACTCGTCTGGTAGTACAGAGTTTCAACATTATTCCAATATTCGTTAAATCTATCAATACATATTTACTAATGCCCGATAATGATAAAATAATGTTATCTACTAGTAGGTGCCTACTTTATAATTATTATACTACCTATCAATATTGATGGAATGAGCAAGATGAATTAATTGAATTTAATTGGTAGGTACATCAGACAGTGTAAGATAAGATGAAAAAATTTGAGGATCCTGATAAATGACATGGTAATGGCAGGAGTCTCTTGCGGAGGCTGACGAAGGATATGCGCGCGAAGAATGTTTCTTCCTCAGCAGGTATCATGTAAGATCACCTAGCTATCGAACGTCCGTATATTGCTATTGGGCGTCCGTATATAGCTATTGAACGTCCATATATAGCTATTGGGCGTCCGTATATAGCTATTGAACATCCACCTACTTCCTATCATGTAAGATTTGAGGAGTGGCTTTTTTTTCTTTTTTAAGGGGGAAAATCATCAAATGACTGCTCCCGCCTAGGTGAGGCGGGAGGGAGTGTCAGACTCTTACTGACTAAAAACCACCCCGTTCCTTCTCCTGCACGTCGAGCCGGAGCCCCGGTTACCCCATAGGTTCTCCGCGACTCCGAATCGGCATCGGCCCTGTTGGGCCACATCTGTGGTGGTCTGATGGCTCTTTGAGGCGCGCGCGGAACGATACGCGCCGTATGCTCGGGTCTGTTTCTGGTCGAACGGGGAGCCACCCATGCTCGCCGTCCGCAGGCCCACGCTTACGGTGGCCGGAGATTGTCCCGCGATCCCCGACACCCGGTGTGTCCTTCGCGATGGCTGGGTTGCGAGGAGGCAGCGCTTCGCTGCCTCACGCGTCCCTCCCTCTCCTTAGCTAGCATGACTGCTTCGCAAAAGGAGGAGATGGCATCCCAGTCCCCCTCGCTCCGCATCATGGCCTGCACTAGGCCCAGACGCGAGAGGACGCCATCGCCGATCACTTCCCTGAGGGCACGGCGGTGCTCAGCCCACGCAGGGCATTCCGTTACAGTGTGTTCCATCGTGTCCTCAGGGCGGTCCTCGCAGTGATGACACCCGGCCTCCCGCCCCATCAGACACAGGTACCTCCAGAAACTTCCATGTCCGGTGAGGACCTGCGTCAGGCGGTAGGTGAGGACGCCGTAGCGTCTCTCAAGCCACTCCTCAAAGAGGGGACTTATCGCTGCAATGGCAGCGAGCCCAGCCCTCGGTTGCGACAGTCGTTGCTGCCATTCCGCCAAAGGTCGCGCCGGAGCTCTTCCCGCTACGCACTTATCTGGCGCGGCAGCGGAGTTTTGCCCCGGCGATATGCCTCCGCCTCCAGATCCCACGGCGGTACTCCAGCAAGGAGGTTCGCTGACTCCCCGAAGATCGTGCGGTATCGCGGATCATTCGGATCGCCATAACATTCTGTGCCATGAGCAGCTCCCGAGCGGGCCGCCGCATCAAGTTCAGCGCCCTCACAGGGGCGCCGTAGAGGGCCATAGACCGCATGACCCCGGTGTATAACCTCCAGCAGAAGGCGTTTGGCCCCCCGAGGTTGGGGAGGATGCGTTTGAACGCAGCCCCCGTCCTCTCCAACTTTGAAGCCAAACGTCGGAAGTGCTCCACGAAGTTCCACAGGCTGTCGAGGACGAGTCCTAGGTACTTCATCGCCGTTTCGACGCCGATGGTAACTCCTCCCGCCGGTATTTGGGACCCACCCGGAGGTGGCGCGTTCCCGCGGCCATGAAAACACATGGCCTCGGACTTGTGGGGCGCCACCTCGAATCCCAATTGCCGGATTCTCTCAACGACTGTCGCAACCGCTGTCGCCATTAAGTCGGCCGCCGCCTGGTGCGACCTCCC